TCAGGGGCTCCGAGCTCTCCCTGGGTCCTTCTCCTCTCCATGACCTTACACAACAAGCTTTGATGCTGCTGCTTTTAACTGCAAATACAGTAAAATCGTGAATCCCCGGGGCCCTGGAGCCTGGAATAAGGATTTGTTCCTTTAAACAAGTGCTGGACTCTGGAATTGCTCACAGACCTCGTTCCGAGGAGCAGGGCGGCTGCAGGGCAGCTCTCACTCCTCAGGAAACCTGGGAATTCAGCCCAATTTCCATTTGTTTCACTTTTTCAACGCTGACTGGACTTGACAAATGTTTTTATCCAATTCTGGTGTCTCCTGTTTAGTGTGTCAGGAGCCATTAGCTGCAGTCAGGCTAACAGGGACACCAGAGGATGTTCCAGGAGTCCTTTTGGTTCATCCCCTTTCCTTCCCAGGATTTGTAGGAATGGTTCTGGCACATGGACCCCTTTAATTTCTAAAAGTCCTGCCTGGCCACAGCTGGACTCTAAAATGCTTTTGCAGCATCTTCTCCTCAGTTTTATAGGAACAGAAGAGAGGGATGCTTGGAGATTTTGGAACCTCATTTGGGGGAAATCAGTGGGTTTGCTCCTCCTTAGCAAGCCTTCATTAAGTATTAAATATTTAGATTTAAATCCAGGATATTCCAGGCCATCAGGTGTGACAGTTTTCAGATTCTCTTTCCAGTCTGGGGTGAGGAAGAGGATGCTCTGAGAAAGAGCTGCAGAGGTCATGTCCGGTGCTCTCCAGAGCTGTTTGATTTCCTTTGGTATCAACTCTCCAGGCCAAAGCTGCACTTTCAAACAGGGGCTGCCTTTACCTCCCCTGACAACTGATGGGCTGGAGCTGCGGAAGAGGAACTAGCAGAAATCCAGTGGGAAAACTGGGAAAAATCCCAGCAGCCCCAGAGTTCAGGGACAGGCAGCACAGAGCTCAGGGTTCTCCCACTGCTGGCTCAGGGTGGGCAGCTCCAGCAGCTCTGGGTGAGGAGATGATGGCAGTGATCCTGAAAATTACTGCCTCGTTTGCCCAGGGCAGCCCAGTCCAGGGAAAGGGACATTCCCAGAGGGGTGGAGGACACTGGGTACCTCCATGGAACCAGCCTGGAGAGAGCCATTTACCAAATGTCACAGCTTTCATTCTCCTGCAGTCCATTCCAAAATAAAGTTCTGTGGAAGCATTCAAATGAGACTGCCCCTGCATGGAGCAACTATCCTTTGAAAAGGGGGAGAACAATTTAAAACAACCAAACAGGTTTTGGGGGCACCAACCCCTGCTGAAGGTTCCAATGTGACGTGGTCCTAGAGCAATTCCTTCATTGCACAGCCAAGATTTCACCAATTCCCTCATTTTCAAAGCCCAGATTTCACCAATTCCCCCCATTTCAAAGCTCAGATTTCACCAATTCCCTCATTTTCAAAGCCCAGATTTCACCCCTGTTTGCCTCAATCCCATCAAAGCCCAGGGCACAGGGCAGCCCCACCACCAGCTCCTGGCTCATCCCCACTCTTTCCAAAATCTCCATAACCCCTGTGCTTCAGAATGGTCTGGGATCCTTCCTAGCTGGGTGGGTTTGTTTCACTGAGAGAGGTGGATTATTCTTTTCTTTCACCTAAGCATTTTTTTGGGAGGTGGTTTATTTTTTCACTTTATGCCATATTTTTTCCTCCTCCTGCGCCTGGCATGGCCATGTAACACAAGGAGCTCCTGAAAGGCCCTTGGGACCCTGCTGCAGGCACCTTTAGCAGGACTCCAACCAACCATCCCACTCCACTCAATTCCCTGGAACAGAACCAGTTCTCTTCAGGCCAGAGAGGAAATGATCATGTTGTGCCCATTGTCCTCTGCCTGCAGATTCCAGAAGATGGAGATTTCAAGCTGGCAATGGAAATTCGGTGGAAGCCGTGACCAAAGCAGCTCACACATGGCAGAATTATGGGTTTAGACGAGAGCAGCCCCGCTCCACTCCAGATACAACCCCGATTTCCATCCCTGTAAGCGAGATCCCCTCCCAGCGCCGCCGTTCCTGTGCCTGGAGCCCGGCCGAGCGGGGAAGAACCACCCGGAGTTGTTTTAGAGCGAGAGGTCCTGGGAGGGCCACGGGTGGAGGAACTGAGAGCAGGGATGAGCAGCACGAGAGCGCCGGGATCAGCCGCTGCTGGCGCGGCGATGGCACGGGAGCCAGGCCACGGCCAGGCAAGGATGCTGCTCGTGGGGCGGGACAGAGACCCGCTGGGGCTCTGCATCACCAGCAACCCTCCGTGCCTGCCTCCCCCCCCCCCAGAAATGTTTCTCCAAGTCTTTTTCTCCCCATGCTGAGCGGGGACAAGATGATAACGGCGGCTGGCACCAGCAAGTTGATTTTATAAAGAAAACTGACACCCTGCTCGAGTGCTGGCAATTTAAAAGAGTAATGGATTGTCAGTTTTAGCTGGGAAGTGGTTGTTAGATGATTTTAAAGTCTTTTGCATATTTATTTTGTCCCACTTTAAATAAATTTGGGGAAGATTTATCTCGTTAGCTTCAAATGCAAGTCCCTCTTGGCCTGGCTGAGGAAACAAATTAGACTTTGCAAACATTGCAAAGACTAAATCAATACATTAATATTTAGGGGACATTAAGGGGGTTTATTAAACAGAAAAAGGGCCTAGAGTATTACTTGGGGAACATTAAACATGCTTAAATAAAAACCCGAGGTTGTGGTTCCTGACTGAATCTATAAAAGGCATTTCCAAGGATAACTGAATTATTTACAGCTCCCGTGTCGGGAGCAGGTTCCTGCAGGGTGAGGTGGGGCTGGGAGGGCAGCAGGGGCCGTGTCCCTGGGCTGGGCGTGTGGGGCTGGCACAGAGGGGGCAGCAGGCACTGGGGACACCTGGGGACAGGGCTGGGACTGGGCTCTGCACCGGAATGGCAAAACAGTGACCTGTGCCAGCTCTGCACCCCCAGCAGCCAAACCCAGCCCCAAAACCCCTGGGACGAGTGCAGGGCTGGGTCCTCTGAGCCCCTGCCCTGTGTCCCCATGTCCCTTTTGGGGCTGGGGTCCCTCTGAACCTTGACCTGTGACCCTGTGTCCCTTTTGGGGCTGGGGTCCCTCTGAGCCCTGCCCTGTGTCCCTTTTGGGACTGGGGTCCTTTGCCCCCTGCCCTGTGTCCCCATGTCCCTTTTGGGGCTGGGGTCCTCTGCCCCTGGCCCTGCTGTTCCCAGTGGAACACAAGGGGTGTCAGGGGGTCCCTGCACAGAGCAGGCACTGAGGGGCTGCAGGACCCCCCTGTCCCCACCCAGAGCACCCAGTGCCACCTCCAGAATTCCCGGGACACCTCCAGGGATGGGCACCCCAAGCTCCCTGGGCAGTGCCAATCCCTGACCCCTTTCCACGGGGAAATTCCTGCTGGTGCCCACCCTGGGGCCGTTCCCTCTCCTCCTGTCCCTGTCCCCGAGCCCCAGGCCGAGCCCGAGGGTCACAGAAATGCCTGCAGGGTGTTTTGGGTCACAGAAATGCCTGCAGGGTGTTTTAATAAAACACTCACTGAGCTCCGAGTGCAGCCCAGCGTTCCTGCAGGATCCCCGTGGGTGTGGACAGTTGGTGTGGGGGTGGCTCACCCCGTTATTTCTAAGGGATTTCCACGTGCCACACGGATTAATAGGGATTGCCAGTTCAATTCTCCTCCTCTATATTCATTGCCTTATTACTCATAAAAATGCAAAAGAAAATGTTAATGATGATTGCACCAAAGACTAATAAGTTAAAGCCTTAGGTTATACTTTGCATTTCTGAAGATATAAATGCAATTGCTTAATAATTATACATATTTTTAACTATTGAGTTATTATTTCTCTATATGCTTGTAGTTAGCCTAATTAATTTTAAGCTCCTGTTGATGTATTTTATACACGCAATTAATTTCCAACTTGTTTTTTTAGCCCTTGCATGAGGGCATTAATTATTAGGAAGACAATCAAAACCAAGAATTGTTCACCCTGGAACAATGCAATAAATATTAAATCCGTGTGAAAGCTGACACCAGAGCTCAGGAAGGGAGGGAGGGAGGGAGGACTCCAGGAAGGAAGGAAAGAAAGAAAGAAAGAAAGAAGAGAGAGAGAGAGAGAGAAAAAGAGAGAGAGAGAGAGAAAAAGAGAGAGAGAGAAAGAGAGAGAGAGAAAGAGAGAGATAAAGAAGAGAAAGAGAAAAAAAGAGAGAGAGACAGAGAGAAAGAGAAAGAACTCCAGGAAGGAAGGAAAGAAAGACAGAGAGAAAGAGTGAGAGAGAGAAAAAAAGAGAAAGCAAGAAAGAGAAAGCAAGAGAACTCCAGGAAGGAAGGAAGGAAGGAAAGAAGGAAGGAAGGACTCCAGGAAGGAAGGAAAGAAAGAGAGAGAGAGAGAAAGGAAAGAGAGAGAGGGAAAGAAGAAAGAAGAGAGAGAGAAAGAAGAGGAAGAAGAGAAAGGAGAAAAAGAAGAGAAAGGGGAGAAAGAGAAAAAAGAGAAAAAAGAGGAAGAAGAGGAAGAAGAGGGAGAAAGAAGAGAAAGAAGAGGAAAAACTCCAGGAAGGAAGGAAGGAAGGAAGGAAGGAAGGAAGGAAGGAAGGAAGGATTCTGGGATGGAAGGAAGGAAGGAAGGAAGGAAGGAAGGAAGGAAGGAAGGAAGGAAGGAAGGAAAGAAGAAAGAAGGACTCCCAGAAGGACTCCAGGAAGGAAGGAAGGAAGGATTCCAGGAAGGAAGGAAGGACTCTAGAAAGGAAGGAAGGACTCTGGAAGGGAAGGAAGGACTCTGGAAAGGAAGGAAGGACTCCAGGAAGGAAGGAAGGACTCCAGGAAGGAAGGAAGGACTCTGGAAGGGAAGGGAAGGAAGGACTCCAGGAAGGAAGGAAGGACTCTGGAAGGGAAGGGAAGGAAGGACTCTAGAAAGGAAGGAAGGACTCTGGAAGGGAAGGAAGGACTCTGGAAAGGAAGGAAGGGGCTCTGAGGGGGCTGCAGTTCCCCATCCCAGCGCTCTCGCAGCCCTACCTTGCACGGTCAGGTGCACCTGCATGGTCCTGGGCGTGTGCTGGGTCTGCACGGAGCAGGTGTAGGGGCCGTCGTCGGTCACGTCCACGTCCTGGATCTGCAGGCTGTACTCCCTGCGGTTGGCCGTGGCGATGGACACGCGCGGATCCACCGACCACTTGTCGCTGCCCGCGAAGATGATGCTGGAGCGGTTCAGCCAGGCCCCTTTGGAGGCTCCATCTTCCAGGTAGCACCTGGGGAGAAGGGAAACCCTGAGCACGGAGCCGCGGGAGCCGCTCGATGCCCCCGCTGCCGCCTTTAGGCTGAGCACAGCTGGGGTTTATCAGGGCCGAACCCTCACAGGAGTCACTCGTGAGCTCGGAGCCAGCCCAAGCCCAAGCCAGCTTCCAGCACAGCCAGGACAGGCTGCTCTGTCCTTCCTGCCCCTTCTCCTGCGGAGAGGCTGCTGGAGCGCTGGGAGGAAAGCCTCAGTTATTATTGCTATCCTGCCTGGGAATAGAATTATTTCTATTCCAGCCTCAGCAGCGACGCGCGCTCCACGGAAAATTCCTGCCCTGCTCCTGGGGCACAGCCCCCTTCTGCTGCTGAGCTCAGGAACCAAGAGACGTTTCCAGGAAAAGCTACCTGGGCACCAGAGAGCCCAGAGCAGCTTCTTTTCAGGGGGTTCATAGAACCCCAGAACCCCCGCCGTGGTTTGGGTGGGAAGGGAGCTGACAGCCCACGCCACGCCACGCCACACCATGCCACACCATGCCATGCCATGCCATGCCACGCCATGCCACGCCATGCCACGCCATGCCATGCCATGCCATGCCATGCCATGCCACGCCATGCCATGCCATGCCATGCCATGCCATGCCATGCCATGCCATGCCATGCCATGCCACGCCATGCCATGCCATGCCATCCCACCCCATCCCATCCCAGGAGCTGGTGGAGGAGCCTGGGCCTGCCTGGGGGGAGGAGGATGTCTAAGCCTGGCTCAAACACCTCCGTGCTCCACTGCCCACGGGCAGCACCGTGGAACCAGGAAAAGCTGCACGGGCTCAGGAGGCTGCAGAGCCCGGAGCCATCGGGCAGGGATGCTGTGGCACCGGGAAATCTGCATTTCTCTCCATCACTTAATGACTCTTCAGGAAACGTGGCGAATGAATTAGGCAAATTTTAGACTCACCCCCATGCCCACCTTGGAATTTAAGGCTTTGAAACCATTTTAAAAGCTGAAGGAAGGTAAGAAGGAGGATAATACAAAGGGCAACAGACTAATGGGACATTTTTATTTCATAAAGAGCTTTCTACATGAAGGAAATCCAAGAGAAGAAGGGAACGCAGTAGAGCTCGTCCCTTTGATGAAACATTAAAATAGCACAGCCATAGAAAGTGGAGGCAGAAAATGGTGATTTGGTGGCTTAAGCATCTGGCAGTATTGTTTAAGTGGAAAATGACATTCCATTCAGGAATAAGGAACTGGAAATATCAGGCTGAAATGGTTCAGAAACAAAGCATGAGAATAACCAGTCATTTAATTAATGATCTCGGCACTAAATCTGAAAGGGCTCTGAGGGGAGCTGCGACGTGGGATAAAAAATCCCCATTTACAGAGCAGAGAATTGGGATGCCACAGGGAAGTGGCACTTTGAGGCTGGGATCCCTGCAGGAGGAGTTCTGCAGGGCCTGGTCCCATCCAGGGAAGGCAAGGAGCCTCCTTCAAAGTCCTGTCGGTGCTTTGAACTTGATTCTAGTGAGCAGCGGGGTGGGAGAGGCAGAGGAAGCTCCAGTTCACTGAGATTTTTCCAGCAGCACACGCTCCTTTCCCCCCAGTCCCTGCAGCAGAGGGTCCAGCCCATCCCAGCAGAGCTGAGCAGCCTGGCCTGAGGGAGCTGTGCGTGCCCTGCTGGGCTGGACTCAGGTGGGATTTGAGGTCCCTCCCAGCCCAGACCACTCTGGGACTCCAGGAATTACAAAGCAGCATTTTTGCAGGCAGCCTGTAGCTCAGTGAGCATTTACCACTTCAGTAATTCCACTCTATTCACGCTCACACGTCCCAAGATATGCAGCCTCCTCCTCCTCTCCCAGCACAAAAACCCAAAAACCCAGCTCCACCAACTCCCTGCTCGCCAGAAAAAACCCCAAAAACCCAAATCAGAAAAGAATTCACAGAATCATTGAGGCTGGAAAAGACCTCCAGGATCACAGGGTGGGATGGGCTGGGCTTGGAGGTCCTTCCCAAGGCCACCAGCTCCAGACGAGCTCCTGGAGCACCCACAGCTCCTGGGGCACCCTCAGATGAGCTCCTGGGGCACCCTCAGCTCCTGGGCACCCCCAGCTCCTGGAGCACCCACAGCTCCTGGGGCACCCTCAGCTCCTGGGCACCCCCAACTCCTGGAGCACCCACAGCTTCTGGGGCACCCCCAGCTCCTGGGGCACCCCCAGATGAGCTCCTGGGCACCCCCAGATGAGCTCCTGGGGCACCCACAGCTCCTGGAGCACCCCCAGACAAGCTCCTGGAGCACCCCCAGCTCCTGGATTACCCCCAGCTCCTGGAGCAGCAGCCAGCATCCTGTGCTTTCCCACCAGCCACGTGGGATGGGATGGATAAATGCATATTTACCCCACGGAAGCAGCAGTCCAATGATTCATCTCATAAATGTTTTCTGATCTCCCGAATTTAATCTCTGCTTGCAAATCCCCTCCCAGCCCTGGAGCCCCAGTTGCTGCCTGCAGCTCTCTGCAGGACCTCAGAGCTCGCTCACCTCCTCCCACGCCAGAGGCTCTGGGTTTTTGCAGGGAACAGAAATAAGGAAAATCCAGGGTTTTTCACTGTTTACAGGAAGGTTTGGCCTTTCCCCCCCAAACCTTCACAGTTTCCTGAGGAGGAGCAGCCTCTCCACGCAGGGTCTGTGTGCCACTGTGTGCCCAGGGCAGGGATTCCAGCAGAGCACCGTGGGTTTAACAAAATAATAACAACAAAACCTTTCCTCCAGCAGCCTCTGGGAAATCACTCACTGAAAGGATGGCCACCAGGAAAAACTGCAAATATCAGAGGCCTCTTTTCCTTCTTCCTCTCTTTCCCTAAATTCTGTTTATATCAAACTCCCTGCACATCCCAGCAGCACTTCTGCAATGTATTTTTTAAATCTATGCATAGAACCAATTATTTTTAGCAATTAATAATAACACTGCAGCACAACTAAAGTAAGCATAACAGTCATTAAATAAAAGTGACTTTTGCTCTTTTTACCTTGCCATGGCTTGGAAAAGTATTGATGAAACCATAGCTGAACTCAGCAGAGAATTCTTCTATATTTAAATTAGGAAGATTGGAAAAAAGCGCAGTTTCTTTTTTAACTGATGATTGCAATCAGAAATTCCCCACACAACAAGCATAAAAAATAGATTTTAATGTTAACTGTCATACATGGCTGAGGGCACTTTATTATTTTTCCAATCATTATTAATGGGAATGATCTTCTGTAATTTGTAAGTACGGAAAAATATAGTCTCACCCAGCTTCCCTCAAGTTTTTAATCCTCTTTTTTTTAATGCCTCCCACTTTCCCAGCTCTCCAGTCTATTATTCCACCATAATTAAAACAGAGATCCATTAATCTTTGTAAAAAACAGTTCTTCCACTTGCTTAATTAAAACTGCACAGGGGCTCTGCTCCAGGAGCCTCCACGGGCTGGGATCCCACCTGGCTGCCCCGAAGGACAGGAATTGCCTGGAATTGTCTGGAATTGCTTGGAATGGCCTGGAATTGTCTGGGATGGCCTGGAATGGACTGGAATTGTCTGGAATTGTCTGGAATGGCCTGGAATGCTGCCCAGCCTTGCCCTGCTCCAGAAGCCCCAGGAGTGGGGCACACCCTGGGCTCTCCCTGGGCTGCAGCTGGAAGGTGCCTGGGCAGCGCTTGAGAGGAGAAAAGTCTCTGAATTCTGCAATGGTTTGGGCTGGGAGGGACATTAAAGAAATCCCACCCAGTGCCACCCCTGCCCTGGCAGGGACACCTCCCACTGCCCCAGGGTCCAGCCTGGCCTGGGCACTGCCAGGGACCCCGGGGCAGCCCCAGCTGCTCTGGCACCTGTGCCAGGGAGGGATCCATCCCTAATCTCCAGTCTAACCCTGCCTCCCTTCAGTGTAAAGCCATTTGGGTCATTGATCCTTTTGCTTTTGTGCTCAGAATGAATTCGCTGTAGCTCCCAGCCCATAACTGGCTCAGACTCCCGTGGGTGGGACACCAGGACAGCAGCAGGGACCCTGTGCTGCTGGGCTCCTAATCCCATCTGCCTCGGGATGCTCCAGAGATCTCTCTGCAGATAACCAGGGATTAACCCCTGCATCTGGACCTCTGCAGGCAGAAAACCAGCCCAATATCAGTAATTAAGAGCAAAAGCATTTGTTCCTCTGCAGGATTTGAAATGCAATTTTCCCTGCAGCTGATGCCATGTGACCTTTAATCTCTGTGGGTTCCACCCTCAGCACCTGCCAGCCTGTCCCAGCCAGGAGAAAGGGCATTTCCAGAGCTTTCCAGGTCCCAGGGGTTTCAATCTCCCAGGGCTTTCCATGTCCCAGGGGTTCCTCCTTCCCAGGGGTTCCCATTTCCCAAAGGTTCCCATTTTCCCAGGGGTTTCTATTTCCCAGGGGTTCCCATTTCCCAGGGATTTCCATGTCCCAGGGGTTCCCATTTCCCCAGGGGTTCCCATTTCCCAGGGGTTCCCATTTCCCAAAGGTTCCCATTTCCCAGGGGTTCCCATTTCCCAAAGGTTCCCATTTCCCAGGGGTTTCTATTTCCCAGGGGTTCCCATTTCCCAAAGGTTCCCATTTTCCCAGGGGTTCCCATTTCCCAAAGGTTCCCATTTCCCAGGGGTTCCCATTTCCCAAAGGTTCCCATTTCCCAGGGGTTCCCATTTCCCAAAGGTTCCCATTTCCCAGGGATTTCCATGTCCCAGGGGTTCCCATTTCCCAGGGGTTCCCATTTCCCAAAGGTTCCCATTTCCCCAGGGGTTCCCATGTCCCAGGGGTTCCCATTTCCCAGGGGTTCCCATTTCCCAAAGGTTCCCATGTCCCAGGGGTTCCCATGTCCCAGGGGTTCCCATGTCCCAGGGGTTCCCATTTCCCAAAGGTTCCCATTTCCCAGGGGTTTCTATTTCCCAGGGGTTCCCATTTCCCAGGGATTTCCATGTCCCAGGGGTTCCCATTTCCCAGGGGTTCCCATTTCCCAGGGATTTCCATGT